GAAACAAACCCACCAGCTGTGCACGTGCGCTCCTCGGCATGCTGTTCCGCCAGCTGTTTTCCCTCGCTTGCGCGAGATTGGCTTCGAGGTCCAGACGATCTCTCTGCAGTATCAAGCTCTCGCAGCGCGGCTACGGGCGGCTCACAATTCAAGTCTGTTTCATGAGTGCGCGCAGCAGTTCCAGGCCTCCGCGTCCTCTGATGATGCCGTCCCCCCCTACAAGATGCGCCCGTACTACCACTATTCCCTCTTCGCCCAGATGAGATCGGTTTGCATTCCTCGGTTACCTTCAGATTGTCCCAGCAAGCAGGTTCAGCGGAGGCTCTTCAGTTTAATCCAGCGCGCTGCCAGTTGCTCTCCGCCTTCTCGTCTGCTGGAGGCGCGAATTCGGAAGTGGTGCCCGAGACTTTCAGGAAATGAATTGGATATGGTGTTCGCTCGGTCCTGCCGTGCTGTTCGCCTGGTGCCCTCGTTCATGATTGCCTCCCTTCTCAAATCGGTCTGCAACGCGTGGAACACATCCAAAATATATCGCCAGGGCGCTGGCCGTTGCTTATGTGGCTGCTACAATATTGGAGGGGATGACCAGTTACACTATCTCTCGTGTCCCGTTGCGTGTCCTCATCTTCGTCGGCTTTTCCCTGCCCGTCCTCAAACTTATGGTGAAGATCCCCTGGGCTCCTTCCTCCCCCCATGTGTTTCCTTAGCTGCTCCCGGAACCCTGCCCTCCTGCCTGCTCGCTCTCGACTCTATCCACGTTTCCTTTCAAGCCCTCCGTTCCGCTCCCACCTCCTCCTTTGCCTACGCCAGGGAGGTCGCGTCAGGAAGGCTCAGAGCGGCCATCCGCCGCCATCCGGTTTGCATTGCAACGCGAGCGCGCGCGCCGCACGAGGTTACCCGCGGTGTGGCCGCCAAGGGGGGGAGAAGCACGAGGCCATGCGCAGCGGCAGGGTTCGAATGGCGTCCCCCCGCCCATTTCGGCACACCCTTCCTGTCATACGCTTCGCGACCACTTAAGGGGAACTTCGCCGAGGGCCCCAGTGGCAGCGGTCGCTTGGCGTCTCGGGTCCATTTCAGCACACCGTTCACACGTTTCGTGGCCCAACGGAAGGGTTCGCCCCAATAGCCGCGGTTGTTTGGCGTCTCGGGTCCATTTCGGCATGCCTTTCACTTTTCGTCGCCCCATGGGGAGTTTCATCGTTTCTCTACATTCCTTTTCGTTGCCGTCCCCCTGTTTTGATTCGCCCCTCGTATTTCTCATCCACGTTGCAGTCCTCTTGCTCGCTCCCCTTCCTCATCTTCTCTCTTGCGTTACCCGAAGTTGCACGCGGTTGGGTAATTCGCCAGGATGCTTGTCCGCCTTTTTCCTCTTCGCTGTCTTCGTCCACTATTCGCACGTGCTGGTTTCGCTCACGTGGCTGCTTAGGGCGCGCAGAGGCCGCGCCCCCAAAGCAGAGCTGCGCCACAGCTCAGCTGGTCTTGCGACGCCCAGGACCGACATCATATCTTCCGACGACGAGGTCCGGGCCGGTCGTTCGGGAGTGGGCGAGGGACGCGCGAGAGCAGGAGGAGCTGGTGGTGGTGGTGGGAGGCAGGCAGACAGGGAGGCTGACACCTGTCATTCTCTCTATTGTGATATCCGCCTGCCCGGTCGCCGCGTTCGTGGAGGAGTTCAGGGGGAGTATCGGATCTAACGCCGACAGCGTCAGCGTCAAGAGGACATGGATGGTAGCGTTCGACCACGAACCTTCATGCCTTCAGCGTCAGCGTCAGGAGGAAGACTCCGTCCCGTCGGGTGCAGAAGGCTCCGCCGCATTTGGGCCCCCTGGCCTTTTCGGGTTCTTCTAAAAGGGGGGCGATGATTTGGTGGGACGGGGTCTCCTGGCCAGGTCCATGATACATCTCCACAGATGTTCTGCTCCTCTCTTCCTTTTTCAATGCGTTCCTTGCCACCACCCCCCCCGCGTCCGCACCATTGCCTCCAACCATGACGCGCCCACCCGCAGATCTTTCCCCTTCCCCTCGGAGGAGCTCAGCTCGGGCCCTGCCACGCGTCTCCGGGGAGTGCCTCCTCCTCCCACCTGCTCCTCCTCCTCCTCCCGCCGTCCTCCTCCTCCTCCCCCCCCGCCGCCTCCTCCCGCCGTCCTCCTCGGATAGCGTCGATTCGCAAGAGCCAGCAAGATGGCAGGTGAGGCTCCCATGAGTTGCCGCAGGACGTGGGTGTGGTTACGCCAGGGTGTGGTTTGCAATGTGCGCCGTGGCAGAGAGCTCTGGCCCCCCTCAGGCCAACGGGCAACGATAGGGGGGATATGCCAAGGGGGGAGCGCATCGACCCCCAGTCCGCCCATCGCCCACTGATCGCCCATAGGGGTGCCGATAGCCCACCCCGCCCAGGAGCGCTCAGATCCGCCATTTGGGGCCTGTCGCCAGATCCATCGGCGTCAGATCTCCGATTCCAGCTCGATGTCCTCCCCCTCCCCCCTGCGCCGGGCCACCCCCCCCTCACGTTGCCCGTTGCCCCTCGCGAGCACGGGTTGCAAGCCGCACCCTTTGCAGGCCGCGCCCGCCGGAGCTCCCGAAGGTGAGATCTCGCGGCGCTGCCGCGCGCCCGCCGCTGCGGTTCGGGTCGCGGGGAGGCAAGGGGCGGCTTTCGGTGGGGCAGCGTTTGTTGGGCGACGCATCGACCTTCGAGCAGTTGCGAAGCGTCCCCGCTCGCCCACGAGCCCACCGAGGAGTGTGCTAAGAACGGCGTGCGGTGTGCACGACGTTCTGAGGACACGTCTGGCTGAGGCAGGCCTGTTTCATTTCAGTTCAAGTTCGGGAGGGGCTCGCTGCCCTTCGGGTCCTTCCACGGCTGTTCACCTCGGCGCTCCTCGTGCACCCATGCGCGAAGGGGCGTCGTGCGTTGTTTGGCGCTCCTGGTGGTGGCCACCTTACAACAGCTAACTGGATGGGTCTTTCTGACTTTGGGCAGCCACCAGAAAGTTTCAACGTGACGCACGGGCGTGGTGGGGGGCGCGTGGCGCCCTTGCAGGAGCTGCGCTTCTGGTTCATCGCCTGTCTCAGCTGGTTCGAAATGGCACTCTGCGCTCGCCAGTGCAGGCTGACGCACATGGGACCGAAGACGATAATCGGGCATGCGCACGGACTTTTGGAGGTTCGCGCGGATTTTGTCAAGTCGGCGATGGACCCCTTGGCGGCGCATCCTGGCCACCTGGCGTCCTGGCATCCTTGGCATCATCGCGGGCTGGCATCCTGGTGTCCTCGCATCCTGGCGTCCCAACACCCTGTCATCCCAGCCTTACCACCATCGTCAGTCGTCGATGGTCACGTTCGTGCCTACACAATCCCCGATCGAGCACTAGGCCAGGTCCACTACTGGAATCGGTTGGGAACATATCTTGATTAAATGCTGTCCCAAGTTGAACATGGCCTTCCTCTGGAGCGCTTGGACCTAGCAGGCAGCTTCGAATCGGCGACGTCGCTGGGGCACTACCTGGCGAACATGTGCACCAACTCGTTCTGGTCAGTCCTTTGCTTTGTGCAACTCGTCTGCCCACTATCGAATAGTTCGGTGCTGAATGGTCTGTTGGATTTTTGTCTCGGACACGCTGGTACATGTCGGACCATCCACCAATGCCGTGCTTGACGAAGCCAGCCACACATCTCACCATGTGCCTTTGCGTGGAAGCGAGCGTTCCGACGTCAGCAGAAGGCAGGGGAGCTGTCGCGAGGCCATGCAGCGCAGTGGGCGTGACGCGCCAAGGAGATTAGGCGCATGGAATTCCAAAGGAATATGCTTGTCTCTTGTTTCGCCGGCTCGATAGAACGCATGGTTTTGGAGGTGCAGGAGGACCCATGTGAGGCTCGATGCGCCGGGCCGTGCTGGAAGCATTGCTTCGCAGGGAGCCAGCATAATAGACGACAGCATGGTGCCCGCCGCACGCCAAGCGCCACACAGCGCGCTGTGGAAGTCACGGAGGCATGGCGTTGCCTGCGTGAGAATTTTCCGAGTTCAATCCGCGGTAGCATGAGCGTTACCGGATGGTCAACGCTATAGAGGGGATGCGCAGTTTTCGTATCCATTCGATCTAGCCCACGGCGTGCTGCGTGCACTGTATTTCATACGTCGATGTGCCACATCACATCATACTGACGTTGATCACGATACTGATGATGTTGATGGTGGTGCTGGTGGAGGTGGTAATAGTGATGGTGGTGGTGATGATGGTGATGATGCTGAGTATGATGCTGGTGGTGATAATGATGATGATTTGTATCATGATGATAGTGTCGATGTCGATAATGAGGATGATGACGATGATGATAATGATGATGAGGATGATGATATGGATGCCCATGATGATGATGATGATGATGATGATGATGAGGGTGATCATGATTATTATAATTTCTAGTACTGGTATTATGAATACTGCTATGGTGATGGTGGAGGTGATGATGATTGTGTTAGTGATGGTGATGCTGCTGATGATGATGATGGCACTTGCGTTGATGATGATTATACATAGCATAGGGTGATGCTGTGTGTGATGCTGATGCTGACGATGAGGATGAGCATGAGGATGATAATGACGGTGATGATGTTTTTGATGATGATGAGGTTGATGGCTGTGCTGGTGATGATAATAATAATGAGGTGGATGATGTGGGCGATGATGATCATGGTGATAGGGATTATAATGACGATGATCATCGTTAGTGGTACTTCCGTAGGGGTGAAGACTATCTTGAACTACAACATACATTATATGATATTGATGTTGATGCGGCTGATGCGGCTGATGGTTATGCTGATGCAGGCGATGATGATGATGATGCTGATGATGATGCTGATGATGATTCTTATGATGATGTTGTTTCTGATGATGTTGATGATGATGCTGATGCTGATGCTGATGATGATGATGATGATGATCAAGGTGGTGATGATGATGATGATGATGATGATGATGATAATGATGATGATGATGATGCTGGTGATAGTGATGTTAATGATGATAATGATGAGTGTGACGTTGATGAAACGTTTCGCCTGATGCAGACGCGGAGGTGGCCGCCGCTGCCCTTGGACGGCTTGCGCAGCTTTGCCCGAAGTTCCCGCTGAAGGCGGTCTGCGTGCTCGGCAGGGACCGCCAGGGTGGGGGGACAGGCTCGGGGGAACGTCTAGGGGGAGGGTCAGGCTCAGGTGTATTTTTTCCTTGCGTGGTTTTTCGGCCCGGGTCGTGAAGGAGCTCAGGCGCCAGATGGGTTTCTCGAGAGCCCACGGGCCGGCGCTAACTCATACACTTTTTTACTAGCTCGAGAGGTCGCCCCGCGGCAAAGGAGGAAGAGGAGAGCAGAAGGGGGAGAGGGGAGAGGAAGGGAGGAAGCAGCAGCAGAAGCAGCAGCAAACGCAGAAGGAGGCGCGCCCGCCCGCGCACGGACCGGCGGGCCCCCGCCTCAGCCGGGATGCGGCTTTGCGCAGCCCGGCGCCGCGCCCCCGCGGCTAGGCCGCGGCGCCCAGGAGCTCGGCGAGCTCGAGGAGCTGCGGCGCGGCCAGGCGCGCCACCTGCCGCGACACCCGGCCGCGGGCCGCAGGCAGACGCCGGCCCTCGGGCAGGCCGAGGTGGCGTGCGGCGGCCCGGACCGGCGTCCAGCCGCGCTGGAGGAGGTCGCACACCTCCTCGCGCAGCGCCTCCGCGGCCTCCGCGGCGGCCGCGTCCGCGGCCGCGGCCCGGGCCTCCGCCTGAGCGGCCGCCGCAGCGCGGGCCGCCGCCTCCGCGCGCGCCGCCGCCGCGGCGCCTGTGGCGGCTCCGGCGACCGCGCCGCCAGCCCGCGTGTCCCCCGCGGGCAGGGTCGTCGCCGGCGGGGCGTACAGCCCGGCGGCCTCCTCCGCCGCCAGGTCAGCCCAGAGCCGCCGCTTCGCCGGCTCCGCTCCCGGCGCGGCCGCCCCCGAGGCCAGCGGGGCCGCCGGTGGAGCCCCAGCTCCAGGCGCTGCCGCCGCGGGCGGAGCGGCCGTTGGAACCCCCGCTCCCGGCGCTGCCGCCGCAGGCGGAGCTGCCGTCGGAACACCCGCTCCCGGCGCTGCCGCCGCCGCAGGCGGAGCCGCCGTCGGAGCTTCCGCGGCGGGGGCCGCCTGGCCCCGCGCCCGCGGCGGGGTGGCGACGGCGGCAGCCGCGGCGCGCCCCTGCCCAGCCGGGGCAGGGGAGCCTGAAGCGCCAGCCTCGCCCGGCTGGCCTGCGAGCTGCGCCCAGTCGAGCCCGTCGTACTCGCGCTCGATGGAGTGCTCGCCTGCGTCTAGCGGGAGCGCCGGCGGCCCTCCCGTCGGAGAAGGCCGGCAGCCACCGCCTCGGCTAGGACGCCAGCCGCGACCCCCTCGGCCGCGACGCCCCAGCCGCTCGCCCTGAGCGCCGCCGCCACCGCCTCCGCGGGGGGCGCTGCCTGCGGGTCCCTCGGGCCCTTCGCCCGCGGCGCGCTGCCCGCGCCGCCGGCCGCCTCGGCGGCCGCGCCGCCGCCGGACCCTGCTCCTGGCGCTGCCGCTGCCTGCGGAGCTGCCGGTGGAGCCCCAGCTCCCGGCGCTGCCGCCGCAGTCGGAGCCGCCGTCGGGGCCCCTGCTCCTGGCGCTGCCGCCGTGGGCGGAGCTGCCGTCGGAGCCCCTGCTCCCAGCGCTGCCGCCGTGGGCGGAGCCGTCGCGGGAGTCCGCGCCGCCGCCCCCGGGGAGCCGCTCCCGGAGCCGCTCGTGGCGTCGCTGTAGCTGCTGCCGCGGCTGGCCGGGGCAGCCACCGCCGCCGCCGCCGCGCCCGGCCCTGCGAGAAGCGTCCCGTCCGCGGGGAGCTCCTGCCCTGAGGTTGCGCACAACTATAATATAGTTGTGGTTGTTGAACAACTATATATATAGTTGTACAACTATACATATTGTTGTACAACTATATATATAGTAATACAACCATACATATAGGTATACAGTGTGTATGTCAGCTATTCTAGCTGTTAGATGCCGCTGTACCAAGCCCAAAAACATAATATACTTCTATCCTCCTCCTCCTCCTCCTCTCCCTCCTCTCCTCCTCCTCCTCCTCCTCCTCCTCCTCCTCGATCCCTCCTCCTCGCTCCCCCTGTTCCTCTTCCTCTTCCTCTTCTCCTCCTCCTCGGTCCTCCTCTTCTTGTCTTCAATTTTTCTCCTGCGTTTCCTCGCCCCTTTCCTCCTCCTCCTCCTTCGACCCCTCTTCCGCTCCGCCGCCGCGGGGCAGCCGCGAACCCTCGAGAGCCCCGCGGGGGCCAGGGTGCGGCGCGGCGCCGCGGCGGGCTCGCGGGCGCGCCCCATGGCGCCCAAGAAGGCGCGCATCCTCTTCCCTCCCCCACGTTTTCCCCCTCCTCGCCGCCCCCCTCCCCCGCAGGGCGGCAAGCGGCCGAGCTTCGACGGCGCGACCGTGCTCGCCGAGCTGTGGGGCCCCCACGTCGCGGAGGCGGACAGCGTGGCTTACGCCACGAAGCTGGACGCCCCGCTGGACCGCGGGTTAAAAGAGAAGGAGGACAAGGGGGAGGGAGGGGGAGAAGGACGAGGAGGAGGGGGAGGAGGAGGAGGGAGGAAGGAGGAGTCGAGAAGGAGGAGTCGAGAAGGATGAGGATGAGGAGGGATAAGGGTCGAGGAGGGCCGATGAGGAAGAGGAAGAGGAGAACGGAAGGCAGGGTAAGGAGGGGGACGGGAGGGGGGAGGAGGAGGAGGAGGAGGAGCAGGAGGAGGAGGAGGAGGAGGAGGACGAGGAGGAGGGGGAGGGGGAGGAGGAGGAGGAGGAGGATCCACCCCGCCCTCCAGCCCTAGGATGCGAAGCAGCTCGTGAAGCACACGGCGCTGCTCCAGGCGACGCGCGCCGTCGCCACATCGGTGACGCCGAGGGCCGCGAAGGACCCGCGGGAGGAAAGGAGGAGGGGGAGGAAGGAGGGGAGGAGTACGCTACGCTGTTCTATGCTACGTTGTGCCACGGAGCGAGTTGCAATACATCGTGGTACGGTTTGCTATGCACCGCTTTGCTACGACTTGCGCCAATGCAATGCTATGCCATGCGATGCAATGCCGTGCAGTGCTATGCAATGCCATGCAACGCAAGTAAGTCCGAGCGTTCGGCGCGACGCTATAGCTGTGAATTGCTACGCAGCCCTTCAAAAACTTTCGTGTTAATGCTGTGCTGTGCCATGCCGCGCGCCCGGTTCCGCACGGTCTGCTTTGGGGCGATCCCGAGGAGGCCATGCAGCAGATCGCGCAGCAGAGGCCAGGCTGGCACCTCGGGCCCGAGGCCGACCAGTGGTCCACCGACGCGGCCAACATGGTGCGGACCATGCTGCGGCACGTCGCGGTGGCTGTGACGGCCAAGACCGAACGGGTGCAACCACCTTCACCCTCTGTACCCCCCCCTCTCTCCCTGAGAGGGGGCAGGAGGGGAGGGGCATGGGGGATCTTCAGGGGGAGGAGCGGGCAGATGGGCCGACGACGGCACGATGAAGACGATCGGTGGAGGACGAACGAGTAGGAGCGAGGGGAAGGAATTGGGGGAAATTCGATTTTCATGGGGTTGGGGCCCGTTGGGCCCCCATCACCTGTTGAGCCCGACCTCCACCGATCGTCTTCATCGTGCCGTCGTCGACCCATATGCCCGCTTCTCCCCCTGCATTGTTGTCTGCCCCAACACCAGCAGGAGGGTGCCGAAGTGGGCTGCAGCGTTCGCGGACGACTCCGCGGATGAGGCCGATGACGACGGCTCCGAGCCTGGCTGCTTGAATTCACCAGAGCAGCCCGAGAGCTTCGAGGCAGATGACGAGGAGGAGGAGGAGGAGCTCGGCGGCTCGCGAGCCGCGGAGGCACCAGAGGGCGGCGCAGCAGAGGAGCTTGAGGGCGGCGCAGCAGAGGAGCTTGGCGGCCAGGAAGCGCCCGCTCTCAAGAGGAGGCCTGCAGCTGCAGTGGGCCGCCCAGGCAGGTCGGAGCTCGAGAAGATCATGACCATGAACGGCTGGGACCTGGGCTGGGACGATCGCATGCAGGCCCGCAGGGATTGGATTAAGAGGGAGTGCGAGGAAGAAACAGGAGGAGGTAGGCGACACGGAGAATGAGATGGGGAGGGCGCGGTGAGGAGGGGGAGGGGTTCGATGGGGGGGGTCGGAGGGAGGAGGATGAGGAGGCTGGACGAGGATCGGAGGGAGGAGGAGGAGGAGGAGGAGGAGGAGGAGGATTGGGAGGAGGAGGATGGGGACGACGAAATATGACTGATGATGCTAACTGATGTTGCGGGCGATGCTGGTGATGGCGATGGTGCCGATGACGACGACGCTGATATCATTTGTGATGGTGGTGACGTTGATGACGATGGTGGTGGTGATGCCGATGATGATGATGATTATGATGATGACGATGATGAGGACAATCGCGATTGCCGCGTGAGGGCGCGGACGATGGGAGGGGGGCACGCGGGCGAAGGAGAGGGCGATGTGAGAACGAGGAGGAGACTTATAAATGTGGAGAAGAAGGGGGAGGGGGAGGCGGAGGAGGAGGAATGGCCGATGAGGAGAAGGAGGGCAAGGAGGAAAAGAAGGAGGGCGAAGAAAAGGATGAGGAGGAGGAGGACGAGGAGGAGGGGGAGGAGGAGGATGCCCCCCACCCCCACCCCGCCCTCCCCGCGCGAGGCTGGCTGGCGCAGGAAGGCGGGCGATCCCACGTCGGCGCCGCAGTACACGGTCGGCAGGCGATCCGGCTCCGACACGTGGATCCTGTGCTGCTGGCCCGACGGCATGCAGTGGCGCGTGCCGAACACGAACGCGCAGTTCCTCGCGGAGCCCGACGGCAAGGCGTTGGCGTTCACAGGCGTCCACCAGGACGGCGGCAAGGTGACGGTCACGTTCGTGACGAAGAAGGCCGCCAAGTGGCTCGCGCTCTGGCACAAGCAGGGCGGCGCGGGCAGTCGGCCCAAGCACCTCATGGAGCTGCAGTACAAGGACTTGGAGGGCGAGGCGGTCGAGGAGCAGGCGAAGAACTTCATGTGTTCGGTGGCCTCGCAGTACTGCGCTGGCAAGTCGCAGGACGACTGCAAGGAGCTCAAGAAGCAGTGGCTCATCAGCATGGGCAAGAGCTCGGCGGCAGCTGCCGCCAAGAGGCCCGCGGCGGCGGCGGCGGCGGTGCTCAAGAGGCCCGCGGCAGCGGCGGCAGCTGCGCGGCCAGCGGCAGCGGAGGAGGCCGACCAGGACATCGGGGCGGGATCCAAATAGGGCGTGGTGGTGGTGGGGGGCACTCATGTGCGAGGGGCTCGGCCTGGCGGGGCCTAATGGGAATTCCAACCCAAGGGGCGTCGCGGGGGAAGGGGGCGGTGGGGAGGAGGTGGCGGACAGAGGGGGAGTAGGATGAGGAGCAGGAAGAGGATGAGGAGGAGGAGGAGAGTGACGAGGATGAGGGGGGATGAAGACGGATGGAGGAGAGGGAGGGAGGTATGTAGGAGGAGGGGGCAAGTGAATTGGACGATCGACGAGGGGAAACCTTGAGGTGGGTCGAAGACGCGGCGAGAGGGCGTAGGCGAGGAGGAGGATGAGGCCGACGACGAGGAGCAGGAGGAGGAGGAGGAGGAGGAGGAGGAGGAGGATTTTTCAGAGTGTGAAGTCGCCCGCAGGAGCCGCCCGACGACGGCGACATGCAGGAGGGCGAGGAGCAGCCGTGCAGCGCTGCCAAGCGCGCCAAGGCTAGCCAGCAGGAGGCCCCGAGAGATGACGATGAGAGCACAGAGAAGATCGACAAGCCCGTCATCGTCGTCAACCGCGAGGTGACCATGGCGGCATCTTCCAGCGGTGGCGCTGCAGCACCTGCAGCGTCCGCCAGCAGCGGCGCCGCTCCCGCCACCAGCTGCGCCGCCGCCCCGGCCAGCAGCGGCGCCGCGCCCGCCAGCAACGGCGCCGAGACCTGCCAGGTGGACAGCGACGACAACGCAGCCGAGGAGGGCGGCATCCCCACGGGCCTCTTCGACGGGTTCTGATCGGGCACCGTGCAAGCTTGTCTAGCTTGCTCGGGTCGCTCCCGATCGATAGGCCATCGACCGACCGAGCTTCACGCTACAAGGTCGGTCAGGCCGAGTTTACCGCATGCAGGTGCTGGTCGGATCGACGGGCGCACTCTTTCGCACGCCCGCCTGCGCTATCATCACAGCGCAGGGTCGGTTCGCCAGAAACCGAGCGTGCTTGCATGAGGACAAGGATGATGAGAACCGAGCCCAATCCACATTCCCCCTCCCCTCCCATTGGGGGAGAGGGGGAAGGCGCTTGATGGCGGCGCGATAAGGAGGCGAGGTGAGGGATGATGGTGAGGAAGACCAGGATAATTAAGGACTAGGGGAGGGATGAGGGAAGGAAGGAGGTTGAGGATTGGCTGCGAATGACGAGGGGTGGTGGAGGAGGTGGTTGGCGGCGCGCCGACAGGCCCACGCATATGTCCCCTGTGTGCTCGTCCTGGACCTGCCGAGTGTTTTTTGAACGCACAAGCTGCTCCCTCTCTCATCCTCCTCCTCCTTCTCCTCCTCCTCCTCCTCCTCCTCCTCCTCCTCCTCCGTCTCCTCCTCCTCCTCCTCCTCCTCCTCCTCCTCTTTCTCCTCCTCCCCCGCCTCCTCCTCGAGCTAGATTCCTCCGCCTCGTCCTCATCATTCCCCCCTCTCGGCCTCCCCACCTCTCCTGCCCCTCAGTCCTTTGATATTCATCGTCCTCCTCAGTCGGGCCCCCTTTCGATTGAAGTTGGGTCATCGCCAACGCCCCACTGCACGGGTCAGCCCGTCAGCCGTTTGGCCCCGAGAGGGCCCGCGCCTGTTTTCGGCGCACTGTGCGCCGATCGTGCACCCGCGCACCGCAGCGAGAGCATGAGTTCGGAACCGCCGATGGCGGAGGCTCGCGAGGAGCCGCCCGACGCAGCTATCGAGGAGCTGCCCTTGGAGAGAGGCAGCCAGACGCCGCCAGGCGCCGCCTTGGGGGAGGTGCAGCCAGACGCCGCCGTGAGGTCGGAGCAGCCCGACGCCGTTGGAGAACGGCCGCAGCATTCGCCAACCGAGAGCGCTGACGAGGACATGCCGACCGAACCTGCCAGCCAACCGCAGGTCGACGCCCACCTCGCCATGATGGCCATGCCAGTCGGCGCGACCCAGCCAACAGGCGACGACGACCGCAGCGCGGCTACGGAGACGCCAGACAGCGTGCAGGTCAAGGCAGAGGACGGCGACTGCATAGGCTTGTGGCGGATGGAGACCGACAGCGTGCACCCTTCCGAGATGAGCCTCGCGGCCGATCGCTTGGTGCAGAAAGTTTGCGAGGTCCTCCCGCCCGTGAGCGACGATGAGGAGACGCCCGTGCCCGACGCTGGGGATCGAGGCGGGGTCCATCTCTTCTCCTATTTCCCATCCCTCATCCCTTCAGCTCCCTCTCTCCCACCCCGTGGCTGTCAGGCACGCTGCCCCTGGTCTTGACCGAGACCCCCGCGCCGCCGTCGCCCGAGACGCCCTTCCTCACGCTGCCGTGCGCCCCGACGCGCACGCCGCTGCATGCGGCGAGCCGCGCTCCGCGGCCCAGCGCAGCGCCGCAGCGCGTGCCAGCTGGCGGAGTGGAGCCGCCGTTCGCGCGCAGCAGCACCGCCTCGCGACCAGCACCCAGCAGGGCCCAGCAGCGGCGGCCGCTGATCGCACCCAGCAGCAGCCCCGATGCTAGTGCCAGCCTTGCGGAGGGCCCGCCAGCATACGCTAGCGCAGAACCGCCTGCAGACAGCGTGGAGCGGCCCCAACAGAGCAGCGCCGCGGGACCTGCGGAGCAGCTGCCAACGCCAGGGGGGCCAGCGGAGGCTCGAGGGCCCGTGGCGCCCGCGCCCAGCGGCGGCGGCCTCGTGCAGGAGCGACGGGG